AAATAGCAGAGGAAAATAAAACTGAACACCTAGAAAAGCTAGAAGCAAGATTCCAATCTGTTTTTTGGTTTCCTTTTAGTAGAGGCATGTGCATTTGGAAGGGAACTGAGCAAAAGTCAGTTGGGGCTGAAGGGTGTGGGGAGGGAGAGGGTTGATTATCCATCCCTTTTTGGATTCCTATGAAAAGGCAAAGTATAGCTTGCACTCTTTACTGACCAGTTACATATGTCCCATACACATGATGAAAGCAATGTACTGGGGAAAGGAACACTGTATTTTCAATTTAAATGTTCCAAAATTGTATGAGAAAGTCTCTTAGAAAGGACATCTAGCTATGTCTTCGTACTAGCAAAGATTTCGATGAGAGCTTAACATTTCAACAGAACTACTTAAATGTTTGGGTAACTAAAATCCATATAATGGCTTTTAAGGAAAACAACTGATTGTTTTCATTTGTAATAGAAGATTGGATTAATGCTAAAAGAATCCATATATCAGAAAAATTGTGTGTTTGCTTTCATGCACAGGTCAGGTGAAATCGGTTGGACATTTGTGTTCTCTGAGCTTTTTATTGCATGAAAGGTAATCCAAAATTCAGAAAACTTAGTTTCTTCCCTAACTAGATGTCTTTCCTCAGCTATGTAATCTGAGTTTTCTCAAAGTGACTTGTCACATCAATATATGCCCTTCTCTCTCTTGACCTTGCTGAAATAACACCACAATTTTAGGATATTTTATCCGTTGCTAAGAGAGATTCAAATTAATATTAGCCTTATGCTGATATTGTGTTTCACAGGGAAACTACATATGAAACTTAGGGATTTGAGAGGATGGAAATATTAACCAGATTGTAAATCCCATGAAATCAGTTTTATTTCCTTTTGCTGTTCCTTTTTCTCTTGTTTCCCTCTTCAGTATCTCTCTCTTTTAATCTCTCACTTCCATAGGCCCATCTGCCCTTTATAACTCCCTATACACGCTCAGTAGGTAGAGAAAAAGAGGAAAATAGTAAATATTTAGGACTGTTATTCTAAGATCTTGTGGTCCCCTCTCTAATATGTAAATAGTTTAAACAGAATCTGGCCAGGATTCCTACAATGGGTCAGTTCAAATTCCAGCACTTAACAGGAGCTCTTTTGGGGGGTGGAAGGCAAGCATCTGAGCCTTGCCTTCACTCTCTGCTCTTATTTGGAGTGACCAAATTTGCAGTGTGGTAGAAAGTGGAGGCACCCCAAACTCGAAATGATTTAAAACAACTATAGAGTAGGGAAAATTATTTAATTCACAAATGACAGTGAAAAAATGATACACACAGACTCGTGAACATTAATCTTTATCAGTGGAATTTCAGGTGAATTTATTTTTCAAATAATGTTCAAAGCATTGTATCTCTCCCAAATCAGGAATGAAAAGTGGGTATTTTCTTCCACTATGTTTACCCTTATCTTATTATTATTATTATTTTTTTTTAACTTAAAACACCTTGGGCATCCAGTACGTTTTAGAATACAGGGAAGAGAGGTAATCACCTAGGAGGAAGTGGTAGAGCAACCAGTAGATATGGGTCCCAGGCCCACGCCCCCATCAGCCTCTCCTTTTAGTTCTTGTTGCTACTGTTTTATACAGGATTTGCAAAGACTTAGGGCAACAGAATGACAAGCCAGAAAAGAAGAAACAAAGAACTGAATGAAAGGAAGCTGCCCATCTCACAGACACTCAGCCAGCCGAAGGGTCCCTGAAGTATGGCTGGCTCCCAGATGGCACTCCCATCTCAGAGGCTGGGACCTACGCTTCTCCTGAGAGGTGAGCCCAACGCCTAATGGATCTCAATGTCAGAGAGACTTCTGCGATACCCATCTCACATCCTCCTCTCCTGAATTTCTTCACATTACTCTCAGAGCGCAGCTTCTAGGTGAGATAATTCTCCCCTCTCCTCCAGTCACATCCCTTCCTGATTTTAGTAGATGACTATCAGGTGCCCCCAGTCTCTGCTTAGCTAAGCTCTACACATTTAGTTCTTTTAATCTTTCCCCATAAATCAGTCTCTCCAGCTCCTTAATCATTCCTGACAGATGATGTACCCAATAGTTTACCATCAGAATGTGAGATCGTTGTCTTTGAAAGTGTATCAATATAAATTATTTAAAAAAAAACATTATTAGTATTGAGTCCTGGGGGGGGGGGAGACAGAGAGAGAGAGGGGGAGAGGGAGAGGGAGAGGGAGAGGAAAGAACCACCATAATTCTTTAATGAGAGAGCAAGGGCAAGAAGTCTAGAGTCTTCTTACATGAAAATACACAAATGATTGCCATGTTACTGAGAGCCCTGAGTCAACACAAGGAAAAGTATCTTCCCTGCTTCATGGAAAGCAAATGCTCTTTCTAAAAGGAGATGGCTGACCATTTAATACTTCATGTAGTAGTTAAGCCAAGGAACTTTGAAAAACAGTTTTACTGCAACTCTGTTAAAGAATGAACAAGTTCTAGTAATAAAAGCCAGCTATATTCCCAGGCAGCGCTCGCCTCACCTCATGCTTTTGGCAGGCCTGCTTGTGAAGGAGGTAGAAGGAAGAAGAAAAAGAACACTGTATTTTCTGTTCAGCATTGCATATAAACTTCCCAACATGGCCTAGGAATTTTCAATAGCTTTCTGATCTTTTTACAGCCTGACATCATATTCCTCTACAGTGACATCATGGCTTTTAAGGCTAGGAATCCAATGGTACTAGTATTTTAAAATGTTCCCAACCCATCAAAATTTGGCATTTAATACTTTTCCTTAACAACCTTAAGTTTCCAAAGTTTTCTTTGGGTTTTGAAGACTTCAACCCCAGATCCCAGATAAGTTTCTATGTGTTTACAAACTGTGAGGCCAAGCCTGTGAGTAGCACCTTATAAAAGAGGCCTGGCTGGGAAGGTGGCTTTACTAGAGGGAGGTTCAACAGAGTCAGAAAAGAGACAAAACAGTCTGGGTTCAAGAAGTAATGCTTTCTTTCTCTTTTTCTCCAAGGCCAGCAATTTGCACCTCCTTTCCCATTCCCTGAGGGTCTGTTCTAACCATAAGACCAAAAAAAGGAAAAAAAAAAAAAATCCAACCTTCCTCATGATGCTACCGCCCTGACTTCCCAGAAGCAGAGGCACAGGTCCTTTGTTCCTCACTTGCCAACAAGGCAAATGGAGATTCAGTGTTGCAGGGTCTCAAGCAGGCAGATGGAGAGTCCAACCCAACATCTCTTTACACAGAGACCAGTGGGGCTAGAAGTCAGGTTGAAACACTGGCATTTTCTCACCCAGGCTAGAGCTAGAGCTGCCCCTGGAACGGTCTGTGGTAAACAGCTCATTCATCACTTTGGTTTTGGTTTTGGTTTTGAAATCCATCATGGGCGAATATGTATCCAACTGAGCATGACCTGTACATGGCTATACCACATGCAAAATCCCTAGGCAAGGTCAACAGCACCTGCACTGGCCTCTTCTTTCTTCAGCAAGAGAAAGCCAGTGATCAGACACTCGAATGTTCTGGCGATGCAAAATTGCTACCTACCACTTACCGTTTACTTGCAATGTCTGTACTTGCCATGTCATGGGACATTTCATGGGACATATCCAAACAGTTTTGAACTGGCACTCAGCTACCACATCCTGAGTACCACTGTACTAGAGCAGGGTCGGCAGGCTAGGTCCGTGGGCCGAATCCCACCCAATGCCTGTTTTTGTAAAGTTTTGTCTGACACCTGTGAAATTTCTACAGATGCTTCCCATGAATGCAGCAGAGGCGAGTAGTCGCGACAGGATATGCAGCTTGCAAGAATAAAATATTTACCACGTGGCCCTTTAAGAAACAGTTGCCGGACCCCCAGGCAACTCAGGCATACTAGGTACCAAAAAGATGGGGTAAATCTCAGCCAAGTTTATACCACCTATCCTCACATTACCCCCTTCTCTTCCAAGAAGATTTGGCACTCCCCTTAAGCTCTTGGTTCTGGAATGGACTACTCTTTCCCAAAAGGAAGATGCCAAGGTGTTTCCTTTATTCATACTTCAGCACATAGGCCTAGGGAGGATTTACACAGCAATTATCAAGAAGAAAGACTTTCTGGGCCTTCTCCGTGGGTGTGTGTATGTCCTCACCCACATGTGGTGTACAAAAAGCCATTCCAAGGCTGAACCAAATTACCACGAACTTGCTGTGAGTATAAACAGCTAGACCCCACTGACCATGTTCATAAAGAAGTTCTCATGTTAAAGAAAGCCACTCAGGAAGAGGGAGGGAAGGGGCAGAGAAGAGGTGCAGCCTGCCTTTAAGAGGGTCTATATTGCTCTAATCAGAAACAGCTGTGGCCAGTTTAATGCTATCATAGGGCTCATATAGATGTGACATCACGCAGAACTAAAGCTTGGCCAAGGAGTTTTACTGGCAAATGCCTTAAACTCTAAGGATTCAGTTACAAATTTGTATGTGGTGTGTGTTTTCTGAATGAATTCACAACTGGGAGCCAACACCACATCCCATCCCCTTCTAGTAACTCAGAGGGCTGTAAACAGGGTCGTGGGGTTTTTTTTAAGCTTAGAATTAAAATCTTCTTTATTAATTTTAAGCTAAAGAGAAGTAAATGAATTTGCCATCATTCCACTTTATTACATGTCTAACTAGAAAGGCTTTCACAATCAGACCAGTATCCTGGCCAAGCAGGAGGAACTGGGAGACACTTTATATTCTAATTTCAAACTGCAGGGTGTCCCAGGTGTACGGTATAGGATTTCCTGTAATTTACCAGCAAAATAAGCAGTCTACAGGAATATGTTTGCCATACTGTACATTTGTATTAATTACCCAGCAGGATAAAGTGATTTCTTTGTGATAGAAAGAGATGCGGATCTACAGGAAAATCATTAAACCAAACCGGGAAAAACAGACACGTTTCTGTTGTTAAGCAGTTTGGCTGGATTCAGGATTGGAGTCTGAGAGTACGTAATTGGTACCATTTTTCTCATACTCACTCAGTTTTCTCCAGGAAAGGAGAATGGCCTCTCCAGTGGAAACCAGCAACCAGCACTGAAAAGGCTCTGCTGGCTTGGAGGGTTACCAGGAAGTAGGAGACAGGATGACCGACTCCCCTCAGGCAGTACTGTCTTGTTAGAAAATTACTCAGAGATTAAGACGTACACTTGTCGTGATGAGCACCGGGTGATGTCTGGAAGTGTTGAATCACTATATTGTACACCTGCAACCAATATAACACTGTATGTTACCTATCCCAGAATTAAAATAAAAATTTACAATGAAAAGACAAGACAGTTACTCAGAGATAGGCAAAATCACACCAAGGATGGGAAGCAATCAATGCCAAGCAGAAAAGACAGTGGGTGCCAGAAAAGTTCAGAGGTGGGGGCTGTGCTGCATGCTGAAGTCATAACCGAGGGCTTCATGGATAGGGCAGAGTTGGGGCAGGATCTCCCCAGAGTATAATCCAGACATGTCTGTAGGAAGCGGTGAAGGGCAATGGGGGAAAGGAGGTATGCAAGGTGAGGAGCTGGGTTTGTGCCACAGGGTTTCTGGTGACAGTGTGTGGCCAGAGAGGATTCAATGTGAGGTTACTGAAGTCATCCTGAAGGCATCAGTTGCCATCATCTGAGTGCTCTCCCCTACTTCTCAAATGTTCTCCACAGTCTAGAACTTCCACTGACCATGGTCTGAGATGAGCCTAAGAAAGAAATTTCTGGCCTTTGTTCTGGTGTAATATACACCGTAGCCTGTGTTTCAAAGAAAGCAAAGCCTAGGGCAATGGTGTACGTGCTTCTATGTGATTAGGGAATACAGCCCAGGAAGCAAATGAGGGGAAAGGGGATAAGACATGAAAGAGAGTGCTGAGCTGGCTCCTGCTGGGAGCAAGTGTCACTGCTTGCTCCAAGTTGTGGACTTTACCCTAAAAGGATGCCCTTTGATGGCTGCATCCCACAACACTTGGTTTGCAAGAAGCAAGGGGAGGAAGGGGTGCCTGGGTGGCTCAGTCAGTTAAGTGTCCGACTTCAGCTCAGGTCATGATCTCAAAGTTCATGGGTTCGAGCCCCACGTCGGGCTCTGTGCTGATAGCTAGCTCAGAGCCTGGAGCCTGCTTTGGATTCTGTATCTCCCTCTCTCTCTCTGACCCTCCCCTGCTCACACTGTGTCTCTCTCTCTCTTAGAAATAAAACATTTAAAAATTTCAAAAAAAAAAAAAAAAAAAAGCAAGGGGAAGACTTATCTGTCAGCTTCTACCTACTATTGGTCACAGTAGCTTCATTAGCTTCAATCCTCAGGTGATTGTCTTACAAACAGCAGTACTGAAAGAATGAACAATAAGACATTGAACAAAATGTCCTGAAGATCAAAACGTACCTTCCCCTGCCCTCCCAGGCCTTTCCCTGGGATATATCAGGGCCTCGTTTCATCTTAGACAAATGCAGAACAGGCCTACATAGTAGTCTTAAATGAAATAAGAAACATTGCTGTGGAAATATCAACTGATGTCAAATAATAGCCATACATCCCACTAAAGGGGGAGAAAGGCCTGGGATAATGTTAGAATGTGTTTTTCCCCATTCCACACTTTGCTATCTTGTTTTGTAAGTAAAGATACAGGCACTGCGTAAACAGAGACTGAACATATAAAGATAGATTTATAGGATGTTCAGTGGATGGATGGATGGATGGATGGATGGATGGATGGATGAGCCAACTCGAGAACCAACCATGCAACCCTGAATGAATATCCATAGCACAAACCAGTGCTCCTCCAGCTTTAGCTCGCATCAGAATACTGGAGTGGGTTTGGTAGAACAGAATCCCCGGGAACGGTTGTCAGAACACAGAACACAGTTGTTCCCAAATGACCCTGAGGCTGCTGTATCCTTGGACCTTGCTTTGAGAACCAGTGCATAAGCCAATGTGAATCTGTCACTTTTGGTCAAACAACTTCTAACCTAAAAATCTTTTGGTTGAGGATTTTGGCATGAGCGTATTCACTCCTTGCGACTCAGGGTGTGGCCCAAGGACCAGCAGCACAGGTGTGGGCTGAGAATTTGCATTTATCACAAGTGTATCATAAATGCAAATTCTCAGCCCCACCCCAAAACTACTGAATCACTACAATAACTTTTTTTCTCCCCTTAATAAGGATAGGGATGCATATACGATTGGCAAGGTCTTGCAGTTCCTCTGGGTCATTCCTGGGATCCAGGACAAAAAAAAAAAAAAAGGATTTGTAAACACTGCATCAACTCTAAATTGCCCTCAAAGCACTCCAAAGTCATTTTTTCTTTCTTTCTTTGTAAGTTAAATAGGTGTTTGAAATTGCTATTGGTTAATAAAAAAAAAAAAACAAAAAAATACCACCTTATTTTCTGTTTGTCTCAAAGTCAAGTGAGGTCTGGAACCAGAAATGTGCACGTTAAAGGTCAATTCTATCTCTAGCACGTATTTTTTGAGGCGAAGATAGTCACACCATTTTAGCCAGAGGCTGACAAACCTGTTCTCTTAAGGCTTTACAGGCTATGCAGTCCCTGTTGCAACAGCTCAACTCTGCCATGGTAGTGGGCAAGCAGTCAGACGGTGTGCAAACTTACGGGTGTCACTGAGTTCCAATAAAGCAGTTTTACAAAAGCAAGAATGAGCCAGTTTTGGTCCATGGGCCATCATTTTCTGGTGTCAGTTTGAAACTCTTGAAGCCTCAGTTTCTTGTCCATAAAATGGGCTTAGAAAAACCTACCTGGCAAGGTAGATGTAAAGATGAACTGAACTAATGCATACAGAAGCATCTGTCAAGAGAGTTCAATATTGTTAATTCCTTGCATTCTTTCCATTTCTCCTAAAATTCAGGTGCAAAAACTCTTGGACCATTTTCATTAGGCAGGTTCCAGCGAATTTGCTTCCTACACACACACACACACACACACACACACACACACACTTCTCTCTCTCTCTCTCTCTCTCTCTCTCTCTTGAAGTTAGCATATTCCTCTAAGCAGTGATTTGGAGGCAAATGCCATCAAAGAAAGCAAAGAAAGGAAGAGAAAGATCTTTGCAGATGGTTCTGAATCTAGGAGGACTTCGACCACCCTCACACGATGGAGCGAAGAAGAACGTAGCAGGGGTTGCGTGAAGGTAAATGTTTGCATGTGTGAAAGCAGCTGTGACACACCCCAGAGATTGAAGCCCCATGAGGCTGGTGATAATGCAGTGACTGAAGGGGAAGGAAAAAGGCCAGGCTAGGAGGGAGGACAGAGAGAAGCTCAGAGAAAAGGGACCGGAAGAACAGAGCAGCACAGGACAGGAGTGAACTAAGACATAAAAGCTTTTTTCCTTAGGAATGAAACCTCCCCTGGGCACATATGCCGATTTGGCTTTCTGTCCTGAAATTGGGTGCTTGGATATCTAATTGGTTCAGAAGTGATTTCAAATGCCCAGGCAGAGATAGATCTCCTTCCACTTTATGATCAGACAAGCTCTCATGAAGGTCAACACGAACTTTTCATTCCACCCTGAAGACAGGAATTGACCCAGTGCATTTGCAAATAGAGCCTGAGCTTTCCCCTTTGGCTTGCTCACACCCCTCACCTCCTGGGGTGGCTTGGCTCCTTCCATGGAAAAATCTACCATGGGAGAAATCTGGACATGTTACCTGAGCACCCTGCAGTCTCAAAGCCACATTTAGCCAAACAGAAACCACCTCACGTTTAATATTCGAGTTTTGAGCCACTCCATACCCCAGGCTTATGTCACCTCTTCCCGCCTTTTTCCCCCTTTTTTTTTGGAAGGGCCATTTTATGTGCTTCTTTTCAAGGTCAGAAAGAAATTAAGCCAAAGCCCTACCTCCTTTCCCTTTTCATATATCCTGAACGGTTCTAGAGACATTTTCTAGAGAAAATAGAGCTTAATTTCTTGGAGGTGTTTTGTTGACAAGAAAATGGAAAGCATGTGTCCCCGCTTCGCTTATTGTACTTCCAAGTAATGAAAGTATTTAAGAAGGTACAATTATGATCTTGGCAAGCACCTGGGGCTCTTGGAACTGTTTTTTCACACTGAATAAACACTGCAGATAATCTGTTTACGTTACACTGTTCTGAAAAGCTATCTACAACAAAAGGCCACAACCATTCTTTAGTTTCCTTTTCTTGAAAGGAAAAAAAAATATATTGCACTAATAATTTGCTGAAAATGATTTCATTGTCTCCATTTTCACTCTAGCCAGACAGAAACAAGTTTTGGTATAGGAGTTCATGGGTTTCTTTTTCTTTTTTTCTACCATGTTTCACTGAATAGTGTAATCCATTTTTTTCTAGCTACCTGGAATTCTTCTTGTTAACAATCCCTGGTGACTAAGGATCAGTTACCTGCCCTAAAAAATTAACTATAACCCTCCTTTGAATAAGGTACCCCAAATTCATTTCATTTTCTCAAACTGATTGAGACTAAATGGTATCCTTAGTTTCATTCAAATCTGGTACAGCCCCCAGAAAAGGGCAAACAAACCATTTCTCTTAAACAATCCATTTCTCTTTAAGCTAATAATATTAATAGTAGTAGTAGTAATAATAACAATAATAATAATAATAATAGATGGTAACAAGGCACTGAGTTAGGAAGCACTAGTCCCCCAAATGCATGTCTTCAGCCTGATTTGGTCAGAACGTTTAAGCTGAGAATTATCTGCCTAATACAGCATCAGAAAAATCTAGAAAGATGACATAGGAAGAGAAGAATCAACAGGACGTTCATCTGTTTTACAGTGTTGTGAGATTCAGTAAGCAAGTTCCAGAAAGAAGAGAAAAGCAAGTCCCCCAACATCACGTTCAAGGTAGTCTCATTCTTACAGAGTGATAGATGGTCAATAGCTCAGCAATTCAGAACTATCGTTTTACTTCTCCCTCCATGAATTTAAGGTGAGTCACCTACTGCCTCTCGAGATGTAGGGGTTAGAGGTGGTCTTAATCCTTTCTGAGTTAGAGTGAAGTGAGTCACTTTTTGTGATGTGTGGTCCATAGGCTATTGGGATGCGAGAAACAACGAGTCAGATGGGGATGGTGTTCCTGTTCATGTGAAAGTGGTATTTTCTGTAAGTTCACTTAAGTGGGTGTTAGAAATGGACTGTCTGCCCTGCTTAGTTTCCCCTCCCCACTCACTTTCAAGGCATTCAGACAGGGCACAGAGGATGTCCATGAAGGACAGAAGCCTTTGTCCCAAAGGTCACCACAGGTTCATCCTCCTCTACTGCCTTTAATCAAACATCCTTGAGGAATACGTTCTCTGTCTTTGCTTTCACTTAGATGTACTGAAGGAGAGACCGCCAGGACTTCAGCTCTGCCTCTGTTGCCCTCAGGAAGTACACGGGGGGAATCCCAGTATCACAGGTTATGTTGCTAGAGTCATCTACTGTAAAGGCATAAAGAATTGAACGCTTTGTGATTTAGTCCATCCTTTTCAACTTGACCGTGTGGGACCAGGGTCTCGAAAGCTGAGGTCACACCACTGGGTAATGCCTCTGCTGATCCCAAGTAGTGTCCTTCTCCACCCAGCTGCTGCCTTCATTCAGTGGTGAGTATTCCCCTGGTACTGAGAGTCATTGAACTCTGGGGTCCCTAAGCCTCTAACCACTAGGGGGCAAAACCAACCCTTCAGTCCCAGTAATTCATCCCAGCTGAGCAGCTCTCTTCCCCAGCCCCCCAGCCCGCCCGTCCCTTCAGTCCCCTCCCAAGAAGTCTTCTTCCAGTGATGTTTTGAATTAAGAAGTTGCAATAACATTCTCACAGACCCCTTCAGCTCTGCAGGTTGCCCTCACCGAAGGCTAAAGGAATTCACAGCAGCCTCCTGAACACCCTGTGTCCTGTTTCTCCAACAGCTATCAAGAGAGAAACCCATTGTCAAAGACAACAGTCTGGTGCTACCCCTCAGCCTAACATTTATTGCATCCCAGACCATTATCAAAGCAGAAGCAGGACACTGTCTTTGCTTCCTGTTCCTCTAGGTATGTGTGGAGTGGAGGCAATCTGATGTCTGCCTTTCGTAGCTAAGATAGCTAATGCAATCAAGGGCATGCTTAGGAGAATCAGTGTGAGGAAGTGCTTTCAGAAGCAATGTCAAAGTGGTGATGCATTTGCACACTTATGTGGCCCCTTGGTGAGTGCCTGGTCTATTTCTGTGTGTTAAATAATCAATGCATGATGACTTTGATTATGCATTTGTTCTTAGGACATAGATGGGGTACAGAATGAAGAATTTATTAGCCCATCTTACAGAGGAGAAGTGAAACCATCGTTATTATTACTAGTAGGCATTCCCTAAGAGTAATGTACACCTCAGTGAGCCTTAATAAGAATAAGCTCTATTTGCAGAATATTTTCCCATCAAGGGCCTCCCCAGTGTCCTGCCTGCTTACCTACTCAGACATTCTAGTCAGGCGTGGAGACACTACTGGACACAACACCCTCCCCAACGTGGTGTGCAGAGAGGCACTCGACTGCCATTTACTTCTTCCGCCTTCGGAAGTTGGCAACTGCATCTCTGATGACTCAGGTGAGAAAAGGTGTGGCATGCCTGCATGAAAAATGGTTTGGAAGGAAGGTCTTAGTTTTGTTGATGACAACTGACCATTCTTCAGTTGTTGGCAGCATATTTCTGTTAGATAAGGCTTGCCAACTGAACTCACCATCTGAAGAGCTTTCATGGGTGTCTTCTCTCTCTCTGTGTGCCCCTTAATGCTTTCCTACCAAATCTTATCCACGTGTTCCTGGCTGGGTGTTAAATACTAGTGCAGAACTCAGCCATCATTCAGCCTTGAACAATGATCATTTAACTTACAGGCAATGGAATATTGGCCTACACATCTGAGCTGAAAAATAGGATGCTGACTTTTTTTTTTTTTTTAAGCTCACTTCCCATCTGATTATTTCTGGTTTAGTTAGTCCTTTTTGACACAGAAACTTGGCTACTTACTTCAAATTCACTGCAGCTTCATTCAACCTACAATGAACAACAAAAAATAGACCTTTCAGCCAAATGGAATTGGTCACAAAGTATAAGCCATAAATAAATTCTGATGAATTTGGTTGCTGTCATAGCATAACCTAGCCTCACCTGACAGCAAGTTAACCATGCAAGCAAATAGTTTTCAATGGATAAAAGCATAGAGGAGGAAGTGATTAGCATCCCATGAATTGAGAGAGATTGGTGAGGGGAGATTTCTCAGGGCAACAGCTGAGCTGGGGTACAAAGTGGAGGGTGTGAACAGAGATTTGCCAGGTACAAAGTTGGCAAGGAAGCTCCAGGCCAAGTGATCACAAGTAGAGAATCATCTCGCATTTGCAGAAATTTTAACTATCTGTATAGATACAGAATGAAGTCCAAGTGGGGATGTGAGGGGTGATGAGACCTGAAAGATAGTTAGGACTTAGTTCATATATTTCAACTTGCTTAGGACGGTCAGTGTACTCCTTTTGTCCTGGTGTATTATTAATAGTTTTCCCCTTTACTCTCAAAGATATCCCAGTGTGGATGAAAAATTATATGGCAGCCCTACTTATATGCCATGATTATAAGACAGGTTTTATTTTAGAGTTGATGATGTCAACAAGGAGGAGACAAGCTTAGATTTAGGTTATAGAAATAATCCTTTCACAGCCAAGCTTCACAGACACTGCTACGTGCCTCTCAATGTTCTTTCTACCCTTCTCTAAAAATAAGCACCCTGATGCTTAGCAGGCCCAAATGTAGCTAGCTAAAAGATTAGCTTCCCTTGCAGTTCTGTATAACCATGTGACTACGTTTTGGCCAAAGAGATATAAGTGAGAGTGTTACATGGAACATCTGAAAAGTCTCTTTAAGGAGTCAGAGGGTGTACCTAATTGGATCACAGTATAGACTCATAATGTTTGCAATGCAAAGCCATAACCTAGAGGAAATCTAGGTCCTTGATGACTGAATGGAGCCACCAGAGGAACCTTAAACTGCCCCTTTTTCAGACCTCTTTCATGTGGGAGATAAATATATTTCTACTTGGTTTAGGTGATGTTATTTTGGATCTTTCTATAAATGCTGCTTAATGAACTGCTAAGCGATAGGTCAGTTCTTCACTGAGAGTTGTTATCATCAGTGCAGTGGGGACGTATAAGAAGGAACACTTGGCCCAGATCTCAAAGTCATCCTTTAACCCAACTTTATGAGGGAGTCCCATATTCTGAGAGCTATTGGACCCGCATGAATAAAACTGACCATTCTCCATTTGTCTCCTTGGGACTTTTCTCCATTGATTAGAGCCTAGAGGAGAGGTCACTCCTTTTAGTCAGAAAGCTCTCCTTAGAAACTTAGCTCTTTGGATTTGGTTTTGTGTATTTTAATAATTCAACTCAAAAAAATCTATTGTACTTTAAAGTGCTCTCTGTTGGCTGTGGAGTGAGAATGATTTTTAATGGGATGGGGGGTGGGTATGGAATACAGAATAAGCAAAGAGGGATAAGGAGAGGAGCAGACATTTACTTTTGAAGGGACAACAGTATTCTAAACTAAATGGCTGTCACCAGGAAAGTGCTTTCCTATAGGTCCTTTCATGCTTCTGTCTCTGCCATTGGACTTCCTGTATAAAAAGAGCAAAAGCAAGGAAGTTCTCCCTTTAAGCAAGACTCTTGATCAGAGTAAATATGTGTGTGTGTGTGTGTGTGTGTGTGTGTATACACAATTTAATATATACATATTCAAGCACAGAGGAAGACCTTAATGCAGGCAAGCAGTAAATGTAAAGAAGCAAAAAGTAGATCCAGCCAGATTATATATTAAATAAAAGGCAATGAATAAGCACTGAGTGAAATTTTATATGTGCACATTACACCGAACCAGTCAAAGATTCTGACCCTTGGCACTGCAGAAATGATGCAGGCATCTTCTTCGTTCTGATGCTTTCAATAAAATCATTCCCAAGAGAGCTAGGGAAAAATTCTCTCTCTCAATAAAATGTGAAACCGTCAGTATTATGAAAAAGCATACTAATAATTGGATAGTGTTCTGAAGTCACTCTCATAAAGCCTCACTTTTCGCTTCTCTCCTCAGGTTTTAATATTGCCCAGTGAGTCCGTCAAATCACAAGGGTTTTGTTGGAGACAGAAAGTTGCAGCATTGATTGGTGCCCTTGTGAGGTGCAGGTCAACAACGTGCATAACAACAGAGGTAACTTGATGAATAATGCACTGAGTTCCTAAACATGGCCCACCCCATAATGAATATGCTGCTCTAATGTGAGTGAAGGGATAAAGCTGGTGCCTGGGCCCTCTCCACAAGAGGGAAAGACAGGTCCCGAGTAACGGGAGCCTTCAGTTCAAGTCACACTGAGCCCTATGGATGCCAGGCTACGAGCTGAAGGACTGATAGGAGGGGTGTTGTGATGCCAAAGGAGGAGGTTCTGGAGGGGAGACCCTTGTCCATGGCGAAGAAACAACACAGGAACGTAGGATTGGCCCAGAATGGTAAAGGCGAGAGAAGTGTGCTGCAGCATCCGGGATGAATGAAAGTTTGCAGTCACAACAATTAGTACCAGTTGACAAGGTCTCTCAGAAACATGTCAGCAGAGGGAGTCCACATATGGTACCTCTTTTACACCTTTCCAAAGTGGGGAGAAGAGTGGGAGGAGAGGAGGGATGTTGACAGTAAACATTCAAGACAAGGGAGGTGAAGAATTTTTTAAAAGCAAACGTGCGAAAGGCAACTCCTCAGTTTCAGGAGAAGCCAAAGGGAGAGAGCACTGTTGGTCTCACCAGCCGGTAGCCTCACTGTCCTGTGTTCTGTGCTGCCCCTTTCTGCTCACCGCTGCCCCACAAGGCGGAGCACCGGTGGCACTGCTCGTGCGATCCCTGCTCTGAGCGCCTTGATATTTTTGCCTGAGGGCTTCACTGAGGTCTTCCGTGATCTTCCACACCCTCCTCCGTATCCCCCGGGGCCAACTCCACCATCCCTGGGCTGACCGAGAAATTCATTCAAGGCAGTGCTGAACATGCACTGTTACACTCCACCCCACTTCCAACCGCTAAAATCAAGTTGAAACAGACAGCCACGGTGAGACTGAAAGGGGAGAAGTGGTAAACGTGATGCGTGTATGGGGCTGAGGGCAGTCTTGCAATGGCGGAGATGCGGAAACAGCGGGCTGCAGACCCAGCAGATGTGGGAGAGTCTCGGGCTGGTTTTCGTGCTCACAGTTCGAGTCAGCCTTTCCCCAGGAGGTACAGCCTTTCTTCCCATGTTACACTCCCAAGAGCGGGGCCCATCTTGATGTGCTCGAATTTTCTGTGATTTGGACGATCATGATTTCATTACCAACAACATTATTGAGATGGGTTAAAAAATAAGACAGTTACGCTACACATGCCTGGAGGTAAAGAGGAGGAGGAGGTGGGGGCATTTGTGAGAAGAACTGAAACACAAGCCATTTCCTTCTCTCTTCCCAACCACTCTGCTGCACCAGAAACTCTGCACGGTTATTTTCCCATGTGCTAAAGTGTTGGCAAATGGTGAAAGCGTTAAGTGACATATTTTTACATTTTTAAGCCAGTAGTAGGCAATAGCGCTGCCAGATTTCGGATTCCATGTTATTTTATTCCTTCTTCTCCTGGGGTCACACAGTCCATTTATTCTCTTCCTTTCAAGGTCTCCAGAGTATTTATCAAAGTGTATAAACTCTGACTTCTGAAATAATAGTGCTTGGAGGTAATATGTCCTTGAGGGAAGGCTTCAATCAATTCTTGCATTGGAACTACAAGAACCGAATTGATAAACCCCTGAGTAGAAAGCAGGGATGTTTAACATGATCTCCACGTGTTTCAGGGTGCACTTAACTCTTGCAGAAGAAGACCTGGAAAAGCTCCAACTCCTAAACTTCTTTTCCCTTGGTTTTTACTCTTTCTTGTCAGCTTTGCAAACCCAACCAAGAAAACCAGAGAGAACAATCTTTTTTTCTTAACCTGCTCAGAAGACCGACCCATCCACTTGTGTGAAGGAAACCAAAGTGACTGCTGGGAGGGACACAGGCACATGGCAATACCTGTCTGTAAGCTGAGAAGAGAAGGGGATGTTCCCAGTGAGAAGGGGTTGGAGCACAGCCTCTGCTCCTCTCGCAGGTGATAACCGAAGCAGAGCATTCTTTGTCACACACAGCCTTAGAAACGAATAGAGCAGCCTTGAGAGGAAGCTTTTTACACAGATGCCTCTCAAGAAACAGCTGTCCATGTGAGTCATGGGGCGAAATGTTTACTTAGTTCCTCCTCCTGCTTTGAGCCTGGAGAAAAAAAGCTTTTCCTGTGTCTTTCCAGGTAACTACAGCTACTCCTGCTTCAGACTCAGCAGCGGGCCATATAGACCTCAGGCTTCTCTGCAAGACATGGCATTTAGACAAGGGTGGTATTCTAAAGTTATGTTCTTCGGAGCAGCAGTCCTAGCAGATGCCTAGTGAAAAAGTAACACAAAGATTATAGGACTTGGTGAGAAATCAGAGAGCTTCTCTTGCTGTGTGACAAAGCCTAATAATTTAGGAAAGTCACGGAAACTTCCAACTTTGGCTTCTTTTTTCTGAAAATGAAGCTGGAAGTGGAAAATGAACACTGATTTCTCTAAGGCCCCTTCAACTTTCTTTGTTTTAAGTTTATTTATTTATTTTGAGAGAGAGAGAGCGAGCGAGCGAGCTCACACGCATGAGCAAGCTGTGAATGGGGGAGGGGCAGAGAGAGAAAGACACAAGTATCCCAAGCAGTCTCCTCACTGTCATCTTAGAGACTGACATGGGGCTCAAACTCACAAACCGTGAGATCATGACCTGAGGTGAAATCAAGCATTTCAGCTTAACCAGCTGAGCCACCCGGGTATCCCAAAGCCCCTTCTTGTTTAGATGTTCATGACTAAAATGCTGTCATTTGGTCCATATAAACACGTTGTGTCTATGTCCTTGGGTGAGAGTAAAATGCTTTTTCTCAGAAAGATTGGTACCC